AAATAAGGTTTCAAGGGTGCAGGAGTGTACCAGCAGGCAGGAAGGTGGTTTGAAGTGTGTCTACTTCAATGCCAGGAGCATCCGGAATAAGGTGGGTGAACTTGCAACATGGGTTGGTACCTGGGACTTCAATGTTGTGGCCATTTCGGAGACATGGATAGAGCAGGGACAGGAATGGTTGTTGCAGGTTCCGGGGTTTAGATGTTTCAGTAAGATCAGGGAAGGTGGTAAAAGAGGGGGAGGTGTGGCATTGTTAGTCAAGGACAGTATTATGGTGGCAGAAAGGACGTTTGATGACAACTCGTCTACTGAGGTAGTATGGGCTGAGGTTAGAACCAGGAAAGGAGAGGTCACCCTGTTGGGAGTTTTCTATAGGCCTCTGAAAAGTTCCAGAGATGTAGAGGAAAAGATTGCAAAGATGATTCTGGATAGGAGCGTAAGTAACAGGGTAGTTGTTATGGGGGACTTTAACTTTCCAAATATTGACTGGAAACGCTATAGTTCGAGTACTTCAGATGGGTCAGTTTTTGTCCAATGTGTGCAGGAGGGTTTCCTGACACAGTATGTAGATAGGCCAACAAGAGGCGAGGCCACATTGGATTTGGTACTGGGTAATGAACCAGGCCAGGTGTTAGATTTGGAGGTAGGAGAGCACTTTGGTGATAGTGACCACAATTCGGTTATGTTTACTTTAGCGATGGAAAGGGATCGGTATATACCGCAGGGCAAGAGTTATAGCTGGGGGAAAGGCAACTATGAGGCGATGAGGCAAGATTTAGGATGCATAGGATGGAGAAGGAAACTGCAGGAGCTGGGCACAATTGAAATGTGGAGCTTGTTCAAGGAACAGCTACTGCGTGTCCTTGAGAAGTATGTACCTGTCAGGCAGGGAGGAAGTGGTCGAGCGAGGGAACCGTGGTTTACTAAAGAAGTTGAATTTCTTGTCAAGAGGAAGAAGGAGGCTTATGTAGAGATGAGGCGTGAAGGCTCAGTGAGGGCGCTTGAGAGTTACAAGTTAGCCAGGAAGGACCTAAAGAGAGAGCTAAGAAGAGCCAGGAGGGGACATGAGAAGTCTTTAGCAGGTAGGATCAAGGAAAACCCTAAAGCTTTCTGTAGGTTTGTCAGGAATAAAAGAATGACTAGAGTAAGATTGGGGCCGGTCAAGGACAGTAGTGGGAAGTTGTGCGTGGAGTCCGAAGAGATAGGACAGGTGCTAAATGAATATTTTTCGTCAGTATTCACGCAGGAAAAAGACAATGTAGTCGAGGAGAATACTGAGATACAGTCTGTTAGACTAGACGGGATTGAGGTTCATAAGGAGGAGGTGTTAGCAATTCTGGAAGGTGTGAAAATAGATAAGTCCCCTGGGCTGGATGGGATTTATCCTAGGATTCTCTGGGAAGCTAGAGAGGAGATAGCAGAGCCTTTGGCTTTGATCTTTATGTCATCATTGTCTTCAGGAATAGTGCCAGAAGACTGGAGACTAGCAAATGTTGTCCCCTTGTTCAAGAGGGGGAGTAGAGACAACCCTGGTAATTATAGACCAGTGAGCCTTACTTCGGTTGTGGGTAAAGTGTTGGAAAGGATTATAAGAGATAGGATTTATAATCATCTAGAAAGGAATAATTTGATTAGGGATAGTCAACACGGTTTTGTGAAGGGTAGGTCGTGCCTCACAAACCTTATTGAGTTCTTAGAAGGTGACCAAACAGGTGGATGAGGGTAAAGCGGTTGATGTGGTGTAGTTGGATTTCAGTAAAGCGTTTGATAACGTTCCCCATGTAGGCTATTGCAGAAAATACGGAGGCATGGGATTGAGGGTGATTTAGCGGTTTGGATCAGAAATTGGCTAGCTGTAAGAAGACAGAGGGTGGTGGTTGATGGGAAATGTTCATCCTGGAGTTCAGTTACTAGTGGTGTACCTCAAGGATCTGTTTTGGGGCCACTGCTGTTTGTCATTTTTATAAATGACTGGATGAGGGCGTAGAAGGATGGGTTAGTAAATTTGCGGATGACACCAAAGTGGGTGGAGTTGTGGATAGTGCAGAAGGATGTTGTAGGTTACAGAGGGACATAGATAAGCTGCAGAGCTGGGCTGAGAGGTGGCAAATGGAGTTTAATGCGGAAAAGTGTGAGGTGATTCACTTTGGAAGGAGTAACAGGAATACAGAGTACTGGGCTAATGGTAAGATTCTTGGTAGGGTGGATGAGCAGAAAGATCTCGGTGTCCATGTGCATAGATCACTGAAAGTTGCCACCCAGGTTGATAGCGTTGTTAAGAAGGCGTACAGTATGTTAGGTTTTATTGGTAGAGGGATTGAGTTTCGGAGCCATGAGGTCATGTTGCAGCTGTACAAAACTCTGGTGCGGCCGCACTTGGAGTATTGCGTACAGTTCTGGTCACCGCATTATAGGAAGGATGTGGAAGCATTGGAAAGGGTGCAGAGGAGATTTACCAGAATGTTGCCTGGTATGGAGGGAAGGTCTTATGAGGAAAGGCTGAGGGTTTTGAGGCTGTTTTCGTTAGAGAGAAGAAGGTTAAGAGGTGACTTGATAGAGACATACAAGATCATCAGAGGATTAGATAGGGTGGACAGTGGGAGCCTTTTTCCTCGGATGGTGATGGCTAGCACGAGGGGACATAGCTTTAAGTTGAGGGGTGATAGATATAGGACAGATGTCAGAGGTAGGTTCTTTACTCAGAGAGTAGTAAGGGCGTGGAATGCCCTGCCTGCAAAAATAGTAGACTCGCCCACTTTAAGGGCATTTAAATGGTCATTGGATAAACATATGGATGATAATGGAATAGTTTAGGTTAGATGGGCTTCAGATTGGTTTCACAGGTCGGCGCAACATCGAGGGCCGAAGGGCCTGTACTGCGCTGTAATGTTCTATGTTCTATGTTCTATGAATAGCTAAGGTCTTTTTTTCTAGGGGGGAGAGTCTAGAAGTGGAGAGTAGAGGTTTAAGATGAGACAGGAAAGATTTAAAAAGGACCTGAGGGGTAAATTTTTCACACAGAGGATGGTACATTTATGGAAGGAGCTGCCAGAGGAAGTGGTGGAGGTGGGTACATTTACAGCATTTAATAGGCATCTGGATGGGTACATCATTGGGAAGGGTTTAGAAGGATATGGGCTGCTTGACTCTATTTTCTATCTGAAAGCTTAATATGCTTCAATGCTTACTTTGTTCATCTTAAGAGGAGGCAATAACCTCGTGGTATTCTCAGGTGATATTCTGAGTTCTGAGGGTCACTGGACCCGAAACATTAACTCTGATTTTGTCTTCACAGATACTGCCAGACCTGCTGAGCTTTTCCAGCAATTTCTGTTTTTGTTTCTGATATTCTGCGGACCTTTGTTCAAATCCCTCCAGGACAGATGATGGAATTTAAATTCAATTAAAAAAATGCGGGATTAGGAGCCAAATGATTACCATGAAACCTTTGCCAATTGTTGGGAAAAGCCCGATGCCCTTCAATCACTAATTTAGGGAAGTAAATCTGCCATCCATACCTGGTCTGACCTACATGTGAATCCAGACCCACAGCAACGTGATTGACTCTTAACTGCAAGTGGGGCAATTAGGGATGGTCCATAAATGCTGGCCCAGCCAGTGATGCCCCATGAACAAATAAAAAATATTCAAAAATCCAAACTCAGACTTAAATGATGTTAAAACATAGAAATCACACAGCTTCCATCACAGTATCTTTAGTGTTGATTGCCCATGAGAAGGGCTTTTGGGTTTTCTGCTTCAATGGCTGCTGTGGTTATGATCTGACTGTGGGGTTTTGCAATCCTCTGCTGAATCTGTCATTGTCTGACAGTTGTGCAGCTCCAGCATCCTCCCCTAAAGGACATCAATGAGCCAGCTGAGATTTGACAGGTTCAGCATCACTTTTACTGAGACAACTTTAATATTTTCTAGTTTTTAAACTGTGTTCATAATTTCAAACTGCATTTCAAACAGTATCGTCTGGATTATTCACCTGCATTAGTAACACCTATTCTTACACTCAGTCTCTCTCCTGCTAACCATTATCAGATACAAGCCATAAGACTCCCTCGAAACTTCAGCTTTCCTGCTCCTCTGGTGCTGCCTGGCTTGCTGTGTTCCTCTAGCTATGCACCTTGTTATCTCTAATATCATATCAGTTTTAACAAATAACATGGTCGGCATGGATCTGTTCAACTGAAGGGTCTGTGTCCATGCTGTACGACTCTGACTCTCTCCCATGTAGAATGTTAGTACATGGATCAGTGACAATGACCAGAGGGGCTGAATGGTCAACGCTTTTTGTTTTAAATAATTGAATGAAGTTGTGTGAGTAATGGAGTTGAACTGTAAATCTATTTGGCTTTATTCTCCAGTCTGTGCCAACAACAACTACCGCTTGTTCCTCCTGCCAGGAGATCTGCTGTCATGGTATGTCCTGCTTGTCTGTCTGTGCCATCCTGTCTCACATCCACTGGAGGTCATCTGTAACCGCCTTGTGACGCCTGTTACCCAAATACATCAAGATTGACCCCTGCTGCCTTTTGCCCACTGGAAGAGATTTCCTGGATGTCACATTTTCCTCTTCATTATGGTCTGCATATGGAATGTATAGCCAATACCCACATTTCAGCAGTGATTTCCATATATAGCACAGTTAAATCTGGAAAGGATTGCAGTCTGACTCTTATATTGTGAGTTGTACCAACAACAACTTATATTTTTTCTCACAGCAAAATATTGCAAATGCTGGAATGCCCGCCTCAGAATTGTTGGCAGGCGTGGTATTTCCAGAATTATCTGAGTTTATGTTGTAATTTGAAGATCATAGATATTTCAAACTAACAGGCCCAAGAGCAGTGAAGGTGGATTTGCAAAGATTGAACCCTCCCTGAAGATCTCTCCTCTGTGTTTCTGACCATGAACCACAAGATTGATTTACCGCCAGCCCCCGGCCCCGCCTACCTCCCTGGTGCACTCCTCCAGTATCCCAGCATGCCGCAGGGGCCGCTGGGCTGTAGGTCTCCTCCTGCTATCGGGGTGAGCTCTTTGTGAAGATGGCGGGCGGTGGGTCCGTGAAGCAGGAGCGGCACCGGCCTGGGGCCTTCAAACAGAACAACAAGGAGCACAAAACCGGGAGGCACCGCAGCAAGGGCGGCCTGGAGCGGGAGCGGAGAGGTGGGGGCGTGGGGAGGGAGACACACACACACACACACAGAGGGGAAGGGGAGGGGGAGGGGGAGGGGACACGTGGCTGA